GCTCTAGAGGACCCCTCGTCGTCTGGTTACCACATCGCTGATAGCGACGTGGCAACATGTTGGCGTGCTCGTTTACTGAGGCTGGTGACGTGGCGTTGGGGCGTCGTTTCCGTGTTGTGGCCGTGGTGTTGTGTTGGGGTCATGGTGAAACGACGACGTCTGTCGTTGTTGTGTGCGTCGTGGTGGCCGTTGGTGATGTGGCGGTGTCGCGAGGTGGGTTGGCGTCGTGGATGATGGTGGTGGTTGAGAGAGTGGGAGTTGTTTGTTGATGGTGCCCAAATCAAGTGTCGGCAAACGCCGACACTCGATTTGGGCGTCAGGAATTCCTTTCCGTCTCATTCCGGGATCATTCCTTCCGGGTGATTCCTGGAACCATTCTGGCAGAATTTGAATTCCATCAAAATTCCGCCGGAATGGTTTGATCAATTTGGCAGGGCCCTCTGCCAAATTTGATTCCTCCGGAATTCCAGGAATTGCCTGGATTCCGCCGGATTCCGGCAGGAATCAGTGGAGGACAATAAAGACCTCGTTTGGTAGAAGACACGAAGAGTGAATCCTTATCTGTGATGAGTCTGAGTCGAGGTTGAGGCCGATGAGGTACAAACACGGTTCTCTTGGAGTTCGGTGCTTCAAGAATTCAAGGATTGGGGCATCGATTCAACAAAAGAGTCAAGACACAAGGAGTAAGTTCTTATTACAATGTGTAGTCCGAGTCCAGGTCGACGCAACCTTGAGTAACCACCATGATATGCGATACGAGTTCTTGACCCTGTATTTGTGTGTTTCGGTCAGACGTCGGGAAAACACAGATACATATACAACAGTTGGGATTGGTGAATAAGTATTAGCGCCAGTCAATGTTTGAGGTGCTGTGATGGCAAGGAATTTCGATCGAGGGAACAGTTGTGAAGTTCAATTTGAAGTCTCTTGTCTCTGGGCCTCCATCAGTGTTGTTGGAGAAAAGCACAGGGTGGCATTGTTTCATGAATGGTGTAGCTCAGATGTTGGGTTGTAGAGATAGGACTTTATGAGTGTTTTATGCTTAGTCGAAATGAAGACAGCATGCGACTCAATGCAGAGCAGGAATGATGGGCTGACTTGGGTAGCAGATCATCGCTTTGGATCCATTTCTTCCAATGGCGTGAGCATCTCACGCATGCTAGGGCAGAGATAATCAATGCCATCCCAACAGCGATCTAGAGTATCCCAAATGACATCCACGCTCTTTTGGACAAGGCAGTGAGCTCCCCTGGCAGGTTTGACTCCTCGAATGAGCTACAGCATGGTTGTTTGTTCTGTGAGGATAGGGAAGCCGTCCAGTTGCCACCTGCATGGCACACATGAGTCACATATGAAATCAGTTTGAGTACAAGGCCTGACATACCTCAAGGCACACCAAAGCGAATGTGTACACATCACTAGACATAGTAATGGGAGAAAATTTCCCATCGTCTTCCACCAGTGACATACCACCCAGTTGACCCAGCAAAGAAAGAGATGCCCTTGCTGACGGTGTCAGACATTTCCTCAATGACCTTAGAGAGCCCAAAGTCGGTGATGATTGCATACACATGCTCATCGATCAAGACGTTTCCCTGAGTTGGGGGTCAGCAGGAAGTGGGAGAGGACGAAGGAAGGGGCCTGACTCCTTACAAGTCCCCATGGACGATGGTAGGCCTGAACGTGTGGAGATAGGCAATGGCAGAAGCCACCTGGCATGTTCGCACCAAGGCGATACCATGCCAATGTTCTGTGAAAGATGCACTATCCCGAAAAACTGCAACACGTTGCATTGACATGGACGATGCCAAGCAATAACCTCTGAATGAAATTGGTAACAAAGCATCATGTCAGCTCAAAACGTTTCAGCAACAGAAGCACTCCATACCTTAATGAGCTTCTCTCGAATGTTTTGTACCATGACTTGATGCAGGACCTTGATGGCAACCTAAATCATATTGTGAGCTGATTTTGCAACACAACACCACAAAGAAACTTACCAGCCATGGTTCTCTCAATCAGATCATTCCAAGTACCTTTCCGTACGTCAGAGAACGTTCCATGAGCGACAGCCGCCTCTCCCTTCAAACTTTGTTGGTAAGATCAGTCAAGATCAAAGACCCTTTCATGACCAAAGTCTTGGTGACTGTCTCCTGCAAAACTTTTGTCAACATTGTTGCTTCAAGCGGCTATGGTCCTGATGCTTTTGGATCCACTGGAATTCGTCATACAATGATATGGAAATTGCAACATGCTCGAGGGAAGAGAAGTAGAGGAAATGTGGGTAGGTTCGGAGGATCGTGGCATTTGGAAATGGACATCTGACACAGGTTCCAAGCCAATGTCGTTGATCGGCCAGTGTGGCGATAGGTGGAGGTTGATGAACAGTGGACATTCGCCATGCCAAGAATGTAAAAAGCAAGAGTCGGGAAGACAGGGAAAAAGAGATCACTGCATTCCCTGATGAATGCAACGACAACGTCAGATCTTTGTATGCACTTTAAGAGAAAAAGGGTTTACTCACGGATGCTCGTCAAACCCCTTGTCCAGACTACCGAAACGGCAATCTGCAAGAATGAACAGGCCATATGAGTTGTCTGCCGTTCGGTCGATGACAGAGAGGTGGGCGCCTTGTGGGAGGTGGTCAAAAGCGGTGGTGATGTGCGCTAAAAGAAGGTCAATGCTGGCCCCTGGGTGGCCGACTGGTCTGTGGCTGCTGGGTAGCTGGCAACCATAGCCTCGTAAGTGGATGGTGGTAATGAGTGTTCAAGGAAGGACAGTGGTGAATTCTATTCCTGCACAACGGGGACGACGAACAAGGATAATTGGTCGTTGCGAATCTGGCAGCAACACCACGGCATCAAATGACGAACACGAGAGCTGAGAGGACGTGAGGTAACACTGAACATCCTGCGTTGATAATCACAACCGGCGGAGTTCCCATGGCTGTGGGTAGTAGCAGCTGCTAATGTTTCCATATTTGGAAACATTAGCTGCTACCAAAATAATTCCGAGAATGGAAACATTAGCAGCAGCTGTATTAGAATGCTGCCATGTATGGTATATAGTTCCCATGCCCCTGTCTTGTCCTGTACTTTGAAATTTCGACATTTTTAACGTCTTCCCCTCCCACAACATTGTGTGCAGCATCATTTCCTGTGATAATCAAAAATATCATTTATCAACTGTAATTTCAGCTTGGGGAACATCTAAAGTAACTGCACACATGTAATCTGGCAGAGACTAGATCTCAATGCAAAGGAGTTAAAGCTCTCAAATTCAAACCCTGAGCTTCACAAACATATTGCAATAAACTCTACCAGTGGCCCAGCCCTCATCATCAGGAAAGCAACTAATTACCAGCCATTACACTGATCAAAACCAAGCAATGCTCTATAATATGCCTTTTCCACCTGAAAATATTTCAGTTGCAGGACCAAGTGTATTGCCTGGTGAGAATAATAACTCAGGGTAGACACACATGCTGGATACCCAACAGAAAAATAAAAAATCTACACAGGATTAATAACACCTGATCCACTTGCCAAAATCAAAATTTTGAAAGCAATCATGTGCCTTCAGATGAGATCTTTTTTTTATGGTATACCAGAGATGTTACATTTCTCTAGAGTGTAATGTGTTACAAGTGTACTAATATCATCTTTAAAAATGAGTGGGAAATTTGAGCTAAAGTGTCACAGATATAAAACTATTACAATCCACAGATAAATTGTATATATCCATTTAAGTTCTTTGAAATCAAACCAGATAAAGGTCAACCTATTGAGAATTCTAATTTCAAAATTT